CCTTTCGGTCCGCCTCTCTTGTATTCTAAGGTTGTACTATGCTTTCCTATGTGTCCTGTCCCCCTTCCAGCCTGGTTCTCTCATTACTAGAGGTATGCTTGATTAAATTATTTTCCACCATCTCCTATGTTTGATTAAAGTTCTCACAACAGAGCAGAAGATAAAAACTTCTAAAGTAAATAAATACTGAAATATTTTTTCGTGTTGGCTGTATGAGTTGGCTGTATGAGGGAGGTGTGGCTAGGTCAGCATAAACAAAAAATAGTGACTAAACTCCTAAGTGACAGAGAATTGAGCAGTGAGACTGTAATGAAATGATCTATACACCAAAACTGCTTCATTAAGCTACAGTTGTTTTGGGGCCTATAATATCCCTTTAAAGGGACACTCCAGGCACCCAGACCACTTCTGCCCATTGGAGTGGTATGGGTGCCAACTCCCACCACCCTTAACCCTGCAACTGTAAATACTGGTTAACTCCTCCTCTAGTGGCTGTCTTACAGAGGGGCACTGCAGGGTCCTGCAGTGCCAGGAAAACGAATATGTTTTCCTGGCACTGGAGAGTCCCTTTAAGTATCATTTGGTACTTAAAGGGACACTAACATCACCAAGACCACACATCTCAATAAGGTGGTATGTGTACACTGGCCCTGTCCTTTGTAAAACTTAGTCTCTTAATGCAGAAGCCAATAGGAAAGCATTGAATCCACTTTATTGCACTTGCAGAGCATGCACATCAAGGACTGTATGAGGAGCATTGGATTGAACCATTGCTGGGGTAGACCATGCCTCCTCAATGACATTGTGGGAGGCAGAGAGGTGAGGGAGTCTCATCACTGGAAAAAGGTGAGTTAAACCTTAATTTTATTAATTATTATTGTTCAAGGTGGGGGCTGTATACCTAGGAAGAGAGGCACAATATAGTGTTAGGAATACAGGTATTTATTCCAGCGCTGTAGTGTTATTTTAAGGAAATGTATTCATGTAGGCCATCAGATGCATAGCTAGAAACCTCCTGGCTCCGGTGCAAAATTTACCCTGGGATCCCCCATGTGTCTCATTCTCCCCCCCCATATGTCTCATCCTCCCCTCAGTCCCTCATGTGTTTCTTTGCCCCTTCCCCTCCATGTGTTTCCTTTCCCTTGCTAAGCCCCTCCATGTGTCTCCTTTCCCCTCAGCCCCTCCATGTGTCTCCTTCCCTGAGCCCCTCCACTTGTCTCCTCTTTTTTCTCCCTGCCCCCCCATTTGTCTCTTCTCCCATCCATGTGTCTAACCCCCCTCCATGTGTCTCTTCCGCAGCCTCATGTAGCATGGCTAAGATGACTGCGATACCCCGTCTGACATGAAGTGCTTCCTCAGCGGTCCGCTCAACCTGTGCTTTGTGCTTCCCTCCTGCTGGTTACCTGGCAATGGAACGTCCAGACCCTAAATTTATCCAGACACAGGGGTGACAGGGCAGCTGGGCCCCCCAGAATGAATGGGGCGGTCTGAGCTGCAACCCCTGTGAACGCTATAGGTACGACACTGTAGGCTATCCAATGAAGTTTATGCTCTATTGGTTATAATCGTATCTGTCCTGCAGGAGTTTAAGGCTATATAGAGTTCAACCTTGAGCCACTGTTCCACTAACCACTTCTGATAAGTGTGCCTGCTAAATAAACTGAAAACCAGAAGACTTCTTGTGACCTTATGTCTGTTTTAGTTTGTATTTAACTGTGTGCATATGTGGCATGTGTGTCAATGTATGCATGTTTCTAAGGGAAGAGATATTTGTCTATGTATGTGTGGTGTTAAAATATACGGGTAAGCCCACATAGCTTTGACAGTCTAGGACAGCCAAAAAACATAAATGAATTTCTGTTGACAGAAGCAATACTGTGGCTGTTTTGACTTTACACCTCACAGTTTTGCAAATGGGTGCTGTGCGCAGCATTCTTCTGATCAGTCAACCAGGCAGGGCATGCAGCCATGGCTCAAATGTTCTCCTACGTAGGCAAGGTAGCGAAGTGTGAGCACATAGTGCCAGCATGCTATGGATATAAGTGAAATACATGTGTTTGACAACTGAGAAAATAAAAATCCCTCTGTTACTTAAGGGGACATCTTTCAAATGCGGGTATACATAGAGTGTGTGCACTATGAAGATAGCAACAGGTATCCAGGAGCTTTCTGGTAAAATTAATATGTCGTAGGAATAAAACTTTGTCTAAGATAACACACTTTGATGTCTCAATGGATATAAAATACACATATACTCTATGTATACTGTCTCTATAAGTTTCTGGTGAATCCCTATATCTTTCTAATTTATTCTATACGTAGATATCAGATTTTCTATTTATTCAAATGCAGGTATGTTTGCATATCACTGCACTGATAAGCAACACAGTGACAAGGACCTCCGTACACCATAAACTATACAACTCTCATAGATGGTTACGGTAAATGGTGCTTATGGTGTCGCTATAATCTATCATTAGGCATTTTACAGATATTTGTGTGGTTTCTCACATGTAGCTTACACAGCTTACAAAAAATTTTGTATTTGATAAAATATGCTTAAGAACATTTTAATGCTTATAATATAGTTCCAAAAATAAAAGTTATCTATTGTTGCGGACTATACCACTTTTACCACTGCAGCAGTTCAGTTAACTTGCCTCTTGTTTTGCAGTCAATGTGAGTTAGTTAGCACAATAGCTATAGTTAATAGTGTTGAAAATTACTTATTTTCTTGCTGTCAGAGTATAATCTATAGACTTAACTGAGCCAAAGAAAATCATTAGGAAGCAGAGCGAAAGCAGGGCAAAAAAAAATGACCGCCATCAAAAATAAAAACAACAGCAAGTTTCTACATGTAAGTATTGTAGACTGATTAAATATTTAAAAACAATATACTGTGCAATTAAATGTGCTACACACTGAATGAAAAATCCCTACACTGCTCTTAGTCTTTACTGACCATGGCAAACCAGTCAGTTGGACCAAAACCTTTATTAAGTACTGGAAGGGGGTAAGGCTCAGTAAATACAAACACCTAAACACACAATATAATATAACGAGATCTGTATTTATTACGAATCTGTCCTGGCAAATGTTGACTGAATGTCGTACTGTTTTTTGCAGCTTATAAGCTATTTAAAAAAGAGTAGTTGTTGACAAATGTTCTAGAGTTTGTAGCGAGACAGACAACTAAACCTCCAGGGGTTGATTTGATTGTTTAATTTCTTCTAACCTCACCAAATGTGCAATGAGGCATATGGGACAATTAACAGGCTGTGCCATACAGACCCTATTACTTTCCTCCATTCCCTGGTACATTTAAGTGAAGGACTAATAAAGTAAGAGTAAATGTTAATTTTTTAAACAGGGGTATAATATATACTTCATAAGTTACAAAAAAACAGCAGTCAACCTGACTCATGGTGTCTTACAGAAACATATACATAAACCAAGGTATTGCTAAAATATTTTATTTTATTTCAATATATTATATTAAAATAAATAAAATGCATCAAGTACTGTTGTAAGATAATATATCAGTTGTATTCAAAACTTTTCAATCCCCATTGAAAATCAGGTTTATTGGAAAAGTACAGACTTTCGGTTGTTTGCAATGAACAAATCAAACAAAAGCAATTAAAATAGCTCAACATAATTAATGCTTCAATAGACTTCCACAAATTCAACTGAAATTGCAACTTATAGTTTCTTCTCCAGTCTCAAAATTATTCAACCCCCTGAATAGAATCCTTCACAACATAAATATGCAAAACAGGTGTTGTCTCAAGCACACCTGATGCAACGAATCAAGGGCTTCATTAGTTGCACCTGGTGTGCTTGAGCTGGAACCCTTGAAACACCTTAACTGGCTAGGGTTTTGTTGAGTGTCATGTTTGATTGCATGTTAAAAATATGGCTAAGGCAAAAGAATGGTCCACAAATTTAAGAGAAGAGATCATCTCCCTTCACAAACAAGAAACAGGATAGAAAAATAAATATAAAAAATAGCAAAGGCACTGAATGTTCCTAGAGACACTGTTGGAAGCATAGTTTGCAAGTTAAAAGTTTAAGAAAAAGTGGTTACACTACCTAGATGGAGCAGAAAATAAAAGCTTTCAATGTCTGCAACCCACTTTCTGAATCAAGTGAATGCAAAAGACCCGTAGCAAGACTTGGTGGCAACAGTAAAACACATACTAAACGCAGAAGGTTTCCATGCCAGAACTCCAAGATATACTGACCCAAAAGCACAATTAAAGTCTGCTCCAAAATCATATGAATAAAATCTTATAAATAAGCCAGATACGATTTGGGATTCTGCTCTGTGGAATGATGAAACAAAACTGGAACTTTGTGGCTCAATGGATCAGCAGTATTTCTGGAGGAGTAAGAATGAAGCATATGCTGAAAAGCTCTGCTTACAGATAAGGATGTTGGTGGCTCGGTGATGCTCTGGGGCAGCTTTGAATCCTCTGGCACCAGAAACCTGCAACATGTGGAAGGCAAGATGGATTCATTGAAGTTTTAGGAAATCCTAGGAAAAAACATCATGCTGTCTGTAAGGAAGCTGAAGTTTGGGCATCATTGGTCCTTCCAACAAGACAATGATCCCAAGCATACCACAAATTCCACCAGGCCTTGGCTGCAGAAGAAGTCCTGAAAAATTCTACAGTGGCAACCACAGTCACCTGACTTGAACCCTATAGAAAGCAGCATGCAAAGCCAAGAATCTTACAGAATTGGAGGCCATTGCTCATAAGCAATGGGATAAGATTCATCAGGAACACTGCCAGGAAAACATAACAGCAAAAGATTGCTCTACTAAGTATTAATGGTTGAATAATTTTAAGACCGAAGAAGTCATTATAAGTTACATTTTCAGTTGAATTTGGGGAAACCACTTGAAGCATTCATTGTGTTGAGCTATTTAATAGCTTTTTTTTTTATATGTTCATTGCAAATAGCTGAAAAACTATACATTTTGACAATAAACCTGATTTTCAATTGTGGTTGAATAATTTTGATTTCAACTGTGTGTATGTACACACACACAAACACACACAGTTGTAATCAAAATTATTCAACCCTATTGAAACTATAAATGCACATCAGCAGGAGAAAAAAAAACAATAAAAAACCCCAAAAATAAATCAAATAGCCATGAAGCAAGCATAAAATGATCATCGAGTAAATGTGTCCAAAATGAGAGGACCTAATCACGTTAGCAAACCCTAAAAAGTGTATATATAAATCCTTGGGTTCGATGAACGGAACTGGTTATATTTTTACTAATAAATACCAGAACAGACAAATAGAATAGTATTGGGACAGTAATGATTGTACTCTCACCAGAAATCCTTGGCAGGAATAGGACAGTAGGGTGAATTCCAACACTGATATCAACGATGTTGCAAATTGCAACTTCCTCCTTCTGTGAGTATAATTGTAAATGAAAACATCAATGAAGGCAATCAAGAATACATCCCTTGAGTTTGAGCAACATAATTAATGTTGTTAGATACCAGAAAAGTGCTGCCTTCAGCACAAACACACGTTTCTGTGATATGCAGCATTCAATGAACAGGTCTGCTTCCGCAGGCTGCCACCAGAAAACCAATGAAAGGAAGTGCTGGATATAATGATCTGAGCGCTGATATGATGTTTCCACAATGCAGGGAGGGGAAACTGTATTCAACTGTAGTGGTAACAGTGTAAAAACTGAGCTAACAGTAATGGTACAAGGCTGCTGTTATTTGTGTATAACAGTCTCACCTACCCTGCTTTTAGAGCAGTGATTGCGGAGTGGAAGAAGAGAAGACAGTGCTTGTCCAGATCATTCTGCAGGTGAATTCAGGTTGTGGGACATTTACATTTTACCATTTACACTGAAGGGGATGACACAATGTACAGCTCACTGTGCAATGTCTAGCAGTTCAGTTGGTAGAAGAGTGTCCTGCAAAGATGGGAACTATTTGTCAATTTAATTACTACCTTTATTAATAACTATTTGTCTCCCATTATAGTTGCTGTATTAGCTGTTTATGCAGGACAGTAACAAGCAGCAGCATTTATAATGATAGATAGTCATACTGTTCTTATTCTTACTTTATTGCATTGCATTTTATTCAAATTTTAATATGGTTGGTATATATTTCACCATTCTTAGCTGTCCATTTTTATGTGTGGGGTATTCAGTGTCCTAGCATACGTTTCTCAATAATGTCCAAAATATACACAAAATACCGAATATGGAACAGTACACACAAACAAAAATATAGTTTTAGGGGTGGAGCCTGGTCTCTGAGCAAGCTGGACATGCCGTGGAAAAGCTCTGGGAACATTAATTTATATCTAGTCTACATCAAAGACCACATCTAAGTTCTCCCTAATGGTGATATTCACAGCATCTGTGGGATTCCCAGGTCTACCTCGCATGTCACAAACTGAAACGGTGTGCAGGATTCAGGAAGCTCTGGACACAGTCAGGACAGTGGCCTATAAACAAGGGAGAGGGGGAGGTGTTCGATCCCTCAGCCTTTACAATGTCTATTTTCAGCTGAGGCAATTGGAGATTACACCTTTCTCCCTACCCACTGGCGAGAGTAATCTTGGCACCCCTATTATCCCTATGAAATCATCATGTGGCGCAAACACAAAAGGCAATTCCACATAGAGAGGCCTGCACTACCGGATAATAGGATCTCGTTTGAACGACCGGCACCAGGGTCATCAACTAAGATAGTGTCTAAGCCTCACAGTAAGCCAGAGGCCTCTCAATAAGCAAATGAAGAAGGGGAATCAGGTAACTTATCTCACCCTCGTGGAGGGTACCACCATGCAGATTCAGATGAAGACACGTCCCCATCAATGAAGTATGACTTCAAGAGACTATCGATAGACTTGGGACTGGTCTGGAAGGCCAACCTGCAGGACACCCAATAGCTACCATTCATCTACTACTGAAATAGCTACCATTAATCAGAAGTGAACGCAGTAGAGGAGAGGGAGAGAACAAGTCAAATCCAAGACACTAAACACCAAATTGAAGATCATACTATACAGGTCCGACAATTGCATGGGATGGTGCTCTAACTAGAATCCCAGCACAGACATTGGAATATATGCCTAGGAGGCCTTCCTCAAAAGTTAAGCAGAGAGGAATTATTGACTTGTGTTCAGCGATAGATTGCCTCCAGTGGCCTTCAAAGTAATGCAGACTCCCCAGTTATACTGTCCACTTTTCGCGTTCGAAAATCAGCTGCAGTACCTTCAGATACACCCAGAGACACTATAGTGACTACCAGAGATGTTGCAGTGAGAGCTGCTATTATGACTTGATCTAGATCTTTGTGTAAGGTTTTTAAAGGTAATACAGATTCCATTTATAGCGACATCCCCTTCTCTGTCCTCGGAGAAAAAAGGCAAATTTCACCAATAACCATAAAACTCAGGGATCACTCCATTAAATATTGTTGAAATGCAGAGGGCTCTATCACAGTTACACAAGGCACAGAAACACACACCTTGTCTTCCACCGACAACCCTCGGACACTTTTCAATATACTGGGCTTAACAGCCTCCTCCATACCAGAGGGAATAACGAAGAATGCTACACAGCAAAAGAAGAGGATGGATTTATGAGGCACAAAGGGCCGAGAGGGTGTTCCCCTCGGTAACAAAAAAATATTTATAAGACCAGTGACAGTGTTATTATTGTATTATTATACTGTTGATTCAAGTTGATTTTGATTTTCATTCTATCCCTGTTCCCTCCTTCATCTTGGAGCTTAAGCTTAGTAACGAAGTGTAAACTATCTGTTGGTAAATGCCACATGTGAGCTGTATGGTTGATTGAACACTTGAATAGTGAAATTAAGCTATGAGATGTCTTGTAGCTTTGACTTTATTGGCATTCTTATACCTATTCATACTTAACTTGAAATTCTGTTCAGTTGTATTATGCATGCCGTTTTGCAGCCAAGTTTGCTTTACTCTCAATCTGTTTACTACATTATTTCATACAACATGTACAACTGTACAAATGCTAATAAACTACACATTAAAAAAAAAAGAATACTGTTCTAAGTTTAGCAAGGCTACTTAAAATCTCCTATCACCCAACAAATATGGGGATTCAGTTAAACCATATGGCGATACTGTGTTAAGCCCACCATCACATCACAGTACTCCAATATCGGTGGATCCTACAATAATTCTAACGTAGGTGATAAACATGATAACTGCAATACTTATTGCTTTAATTGCTTCTCCTCAATTTATGCTTTCCTTCACAGGTGTACCTATAGTGGAGGGGAAGGTGCTTAACTAAAAAGAAATCTGGTCTGCACTATATATACATATTTTTTTTTCAGTCCATTCAATCACTACTTACAATACATTTTTGCTTTTTGTACATACACAGTTTTACTGTTTTATGTATTATTTTTTAGATTTTTCATCATAAATAATTTTTAATACATTATATTTTCAGCATTTCCTACTACTAATGGTGTTCCTTCAAAATTTTTGTTTGGGGAACACTTCTTGTTACTACAGTTGTGAACTTAAAGTATACACAGAAAAAAATGGGCTATACTGTACATATCCATTTTAACATTTGTTTATACCAAAGAAGCAAGTGATATAGATGGTTAACATTAATTCAATATGGCACTGTGTAGAGACTACATTTGTTCATATTGTTAAATATTTTGCATATTGCTGTACATTTTTATATGCACTAACCAATAAAGAATTGTTTATGCATATGAAATGCTTATATTTGCCATTAAGATCCATGAACAATTCAGAAGCGGTATAAATGGGCTCATACTTCTAACTCTTGCATATTTAATATCCATTATTTTTAAGTACATTACAGAATAACTGAGAAATGTAACTAAAAGGAGGCCGTGGGTAAAGAAACATCTAATTATGTTTTAGTCCTAGTCAGCTCTTGAAAATTAAACTCTTTGCTGCAGGAGTTCTTTAATTGACTGTTAGTTAATGTTAATTAATCTTTTTGCTGGAACAATGCATGGTTGTTCTCACAGCTCTTTTGGCAGACTATAACGGCACCCTAAAACTATACGGTTGAGAAATATTTTGAGAAATGTTTCCACTTCTTATAAAGCCCCGGTAAGAATAAAACAGTCGCCATGGATTTTACAGCATGTCCATGAATTTGTCAGAGACGAGAAGGACTGCAGGTGCTATCAAAATAGCCACAAAGCAAGTATATATATGCCCTGGTTTGCTCCATTGTAGGTAGGCAAACTGTTTTAGAACAGTTTGACTTTTTACCTAGGGTCCACTGGGAGCCGCATTCCACTTCTACTACTTAAGACAGAGAGTCGGACGCTCTCTGTCTGAGCTAAGACTGATGGTGCAGAACTTAGCTAATTGGCTAAGAGCATTTCAGTGGATGCCCTCAGCCAATGAGCTCAACCAGCACTGCAGGATTTAGCTCAGAACAGCTAACAGAAGCTACTAAACAGGACCCATATAGCTGTAGAGTGGTGCCCGGAGCACCACAGGTTAAAAAGTCAAACCATTCTGGGGCGTGGCCTGACAAGCAAAACGTATGGTCACACTGTGCTGAGCTGCGCACACCGAAAAGCCAGAAACAGCGTGAAATAAGCGGTACCGGCTCCCAAACATACCACCCTAAACCCTGCTGACATGGCATCACAAAAGATTAAGACGCAAGTAGAAAAAAACGACCGCGCCGGCTTCTTCACTACCGGGCGTCGACGCCAAAAACTAGCAGAATAGGAACAAGATGGCGATGGAGGTAATGACACACTGCCACTGCAAACCTCCCCAGGGGTGCAAAACTTACCAGTGACCCAGGACTTCTTGCAGAAGTGCCTAGACAACATGTACAGTAAGATCCTAGAAACCCTGCAAGGCACACTGAGAGAAATGAAACGAGAGATGCAGGAGCTGGGGGATAGGACGGCACATATGGAAAACCACATGGAGGAACAAGCCACAGCGAATAACGAAATGGCGGAACAGGTGAAAGATCTGCAGCAGCAACTAGACATAACACAGAGGAAGGTCATGGACCTAGAGGACCGCTCACAATG